CTCCTGGCTGTGGGGTTCAGGCATTGAACGTGGCAGGTTCCCTTTAGTCCAGTCTAGCCCCTCCACTGTAGCAGCCACTGACAGAGCTGTCCTCCTCCACGAATCCAATTCCCCTTTACAGCCGTTGATGGGGATGAGGCCCTGACGTGGATGGCCCAGGCTGGCCCGATCTCGTCAGATCTCAGAAGCTAAGCAGGGTTGACCTTGGTTAATACTTGGATGGGAGACCACCCAGGAAGTTTGCTACACAGAGGCTGACAATGGCAAACTCACCTCTAATCTGCCTTAAAAATCCTGTGGGGTTGCCGTAAGTGGGCTGTGAGTTGACAGCAAAAAAAATAATAATAATTAGATTTCATAGGGGATAGGTCTCTTCGTGGTGACTAGACTAGAGAAGAAGAGGAGGAGATTGGATTGATACCCCGCCCTCCACTACCCAGAGGAGTCTCAGAGCGGCTTACAAAACTCCCTTCCCCTCCCCACAACAGACACCCTGTGAGGGAGGCAGGGCTGAGAGAGCTCTCTCGAGGACCTCTCTTGAGAGAACAGCTCTGAGAGAACTTGTGATTGACCCAAGGTCACCCAGCTGGCTGCAAGTGGAGGAGTGGGGAATCAAATCCGGTCCTCCCAGATCAGAGTCCGCGCTCCTAACCACCACACCAAAGGGAATCTCCATGTTCAAAGGCAGTAGACTTAACATATGTTTCTTTTCTGTAATTTGTATTGCAAGACTTTGATCCCAGGATTTAGGGGAAGGGGGTGTGAATGGGCTGTGGGGTGGGCCTGAGGAGGCATCGTGAGAGGGAAGTTGGCACAGCTTCATTATTCGTAAGGGGCATTTCTTCGGGCATAAGCGCTTCCCTGTTGTTCCCTGTTTTTGAAAACACGTTGTGTCTTAAGAGTTCCAGCAAAAAAACCTTAAGCCATGTAGCCCTGCCTCCAGCGCTCCGCTTTGGTTTCACCCCACTTTTCCAGGAGGCTCCCAGCAGCAGCACCAGTGTTCCCCCTAAGCTGAGTTAGTGTGAGCTAGCTCACAGTTTTTTAGCCTCTGGCTCACACACTTTTGTCTTAGCTCAGGAAGGAGGGCTCCGGAGCAAACTAATTGATGCAGCAGGCAAATCGCTGGCTCACAACTTTAATGCCAGGAGCTCACAAAGTAGAATTTTTTGCTCAAAAGACTCCACAGCTTAGAGGGAGCATTGAGCGGCACATGTTGCTTTCCTCTCCTCTCCTCTCCTCGACCAATCCTACAAGGCCAGCCAGGCTGCACAAAAGTGGCCCAAGGTCAGCCAGCGATCTCCGTGGCCGGATTTTGGGGAGGGGGGGTTAGTCCTGGACCCCTACAGCACTCGTGGCATATCAGCAGTGGTGTGTGTAGGAGGACTGTGACTTTTTTGACCGGATACTCTGTGAGGAATACATGCAGGTCTATTAAAAAAGCGGGGCTGTTAAAAAAACAACAACCCCATTACATAAATCAAATGGAGGTGATATTTACAAAATGACTGGATTTAATTGAAAGTAGGACAAAATGTACAGGGTGTGCGCTTGAAAATTCAATAATCGCCCTGACCCAGATAGTGCAGGCAAGCCCGGTCTTGTCAGATCTCAGAAGCTAAGCAGGGCCGACCCTGGCAAGTATTTTGATGGGAGACCGCCAAGGAATACAAGTGCCGGAACGCAGAGGCAGGCAAGAGCAAGCCACCTCTCTGAAACGTGCAAGCCGCACTAGGGGTCGCCAGAGGTCAACGATGACTTCCAGACCGACAGACACACACACACACACACACACACACACACTCACCAAATTGTTTTCTTTTTTTTAAAAAAAATAACTAATCCAGCTCTTTCAAATTCTCTTTCAGGTTCTAAATGGCTTCTAGGAAGTCAGGATCTGACTTTCACGGTAAGTGAAACGCCCATCTTATTTGGTGGGGTGGCGTCAGAGGGGATGCTCACGTTGGTCTGCGGTAGAACAACTGGGTTCAGATTCCAGTCGCCCTTTAGAATCACAGAACCTTAGAATGTTAGAGCGGGAAGGGACCCTGCAGGTCATCTAGCTCAACCCCCGGCACTCTGCAGGAGCACAGCCAAAAGGTAGCCCTACAACATACACAAAAGATGGTCGTCCAGCCTCCGCTTGAAAACGTCCAGCGAAGGAGCATCCACCACCTCCCGAGGCAGACTGTTCCACTGCTCAACCACTCTTACAGTTAGGAAGTCTCTCCTGATGTTTAGCCGGTATCGACTCCCTTGTAATTCCTACCCATTCGCTCTAGTCTTGCAATCCGGAGCAAG